TAGTGATGATTGGGTTGTTCCAATAAACAAGTATGCGTTGTATCACATGGTCACTCAAGATAACGGTAATATTGACGAAGCCAAGTATGTTGTGTCCGTACTTGAAAGAATTTTTGAGTCTGACCATGATTCCATTAGCACAGATTTAGTGAATAAAGGTGTAATTTGCCGAGTACAAAGCACACTTAAAAATATGTTCAGCAAATTGAAAACAGTGACAGGCAAGGGGGGGGGGGGGGAAACAACAAGCTTCCTTGTTAGAATCTTGGAAGAACTCGGTGTACAAACTCCACTTAGGTGGTGTTGAAAGGAAACTTGAACATGACCTAGTGTGGGAATCTAAGAGGAGAAAAGTGTGTGAAATGGAATTCAAAAAGGAGAAGGAAAAAAATAGTCTCTTGATCAAGCGAAATCGTGAAATGGCGAAAAAGGTAGTAAAAAAATCTATCAAAAGTGCCAGAAAATTTGCTGCAAATGAAAACAAACCTTACTCACGGTCATATCGCAGGAAGCGAAAGCAAGTGTTGTTGGAATCCATCAAAGAAAAGTTTTCCATGTTGCAGGAAGAGGGGTACAAACCCCTTAGATTCCAAGTAGCTGACATGTATGGAAACATTGTTGACTTTTTGGCCCCTGATCAGTCTCCAGCAGATAATGAGAAAGAAGTAGTTCCGATCGAAAAGGCAGTGTTTTTGAAAGACACTCTTTCTTTGGCTGACAAACAGTATACTAGGATGAGGCGTACATGCAAAAGTCTTCCAAGTTTAGGAAGAATTAAAGATGTCAACAAGATGCAAGATTTAAACTTTGAAATTAGCATATTTGAAGTATGATAGGTGCATGGCAACCATTGGACAAGCAAGTGAAGCATGTCGTGGATAAAATGATGAAAAAGCACAGTACAAACCCCATTCCTAAAACAATAGGTGTTAAGTTAAGTGCAGATGGGACTTGGATCGGCAAGCGTCTTCATTGTGTAAACTTTGCATTCCGAGTTCTGTACAGTAAACATGTAAGTGAAGAACACATATTGGCCATGGTAAGAGTACCTGAGAAATATGAATATTTGAAGCAGACGTTTGATACAATTTTGGACACAAGGCGAGATATCACGATCATTGATGAAAATGTGTTTGACCTCCAGTATTATTTTGGCGGGGACATGCAATTTATCAACGAAGTTATGGGCATTGGAGCATGTAGCAGTAGGTACTCGTGCGCCTGGTGTAAGTGTCCTAGTTCAGAAAGGTATGATAGCTCAAGAAAATGGTCTATGGTAGATCCAGCAAACGGTGCACGCACAGTATCTGAAATACAAAGAATGTCTAGACTTAACAAAGGCAAGAATACAGGCTGTGTGGCAAAGCCTATTTTGACCTTCATTCCAGTACACCGTGTAATACCAGATCCTTTGCACCTTTTCCTCAGAATTTCAGACCAATTGGTCATTCAGTTGATTCAGATATTAAAGCGTGCAGATAATGTTGAGAAGAATGGAAAAAATGTGGACAAAAGCAAGTGCAAAAACCTGATGGCATTTGAGAACTTTCTAAAAACACTTGCAATTCCATGGTCCATATACACAGATAAGAACACTGGTCAACTTCAATACCGAGATTTCACTGGACCAGAGCATAAGAAGATACAACACCACATTAAACTCGAGCAACTCATTCCAAATCACCCAAAAGTTCAAGACATTGAATTCCTCTGGAAGAATTTGGCAAAATTCTGACTCTTGTAAAATCTGACGGTAGTGATCCCAAATTAATAGAATGTCGAGCTCGTGCATGGGTTACCAAGTATGCAACTACCTTCCAGGCAAAGGATGTGACTCCTTACATGCATGTCTTTATGAATCATCTGTCAGAATCCCTCCAACTTTATCCCAACATCAACCACTTCAGCCAGCAAGCATTGGAAAAACTAAATGACACTATGACGATTCTCTTTTTTCGTTCAACAAATCACCGCAACTCGGAGGCCTTTGTCCAAGTTATCAAGAAACAGAAAAGAATATCAATGCTGAGTGACATGTACAAGGAAAAACCTGCCTTTCAGATCCATTGTGCTATGTGTGGTGAGACCGGACATAATAAACGCACCTGTTATTTAAAATTCCGACCCCACAGAAACCTCTCTGGATGTATAGTGTAAACAGTTTCAAGAAGTCCAAACCAAAAAACACTAAAACAAACTGAAACAACATGAAAGCAGCATTTGTCGTTGTTTCATCACATATAAGAAACCACATTTCTTTGTATTTGTGAATTTTGTTATTGAAATTTGCCTCAACTTTAATTGCTAATTGATTAAACTTATTCAAAAGGTAAGGATGAAAAAAAAGTTCATTTCCAGTCTTAAAGCTAACTTGTTATAAAGTTGATAAAGGACATTTGACGATTTTTTTATGGAAAGCAGGTTGACATTTAACTACGATTTTTGACATTTCACTTTCCATTGAAAAGTTACACATGGGTTTGGATATGTGTCTTATTTTCAGCCAAGAATTTTATTTTTTAGCGGAAAGTAGTCACGTTGTACTCTTTACATAGGCAAATGTCAAAAATCGTTGTTAAATGTCAACCCATTTGAAAATTAATGACAGTGATAATTCTAAAAATAATAATTTCTGTGCAAATTCATGTGAATTTGAAAAGTTTGATGTTTTGAATTTGAAGTTTGTAATTTGCTGTATGTGTATTTGTAAAGTTGCTGATGGTTTGAGTAAAATATGGGGTAATTCTTGAGAAGTAATAAGTTGCGAAATAAATTCTTGAAAAAAAAAACTTCTCTTGTGTCTTGTGTTTTTTAGCTGTCAAATTGTCAGCTTCTCGCTTCTCATTTAGTAAAAACACAACTATAGTGCCTGGAACATCATGGAAACATATGGCTTTCTTATGTAACACTCTGATTTTTTGTTCAAAAAAAGGTCGGCCTTTCCCTGATGTCCATGTAGGAGACTTGCATCCTTTTCGACAAAGCAGAAATTTCATGATGTCATCGAGTTAACCTGTAAAAACCCCCATTAAAGTCCATCTTTTGGTGAAAAAAAAAACTTGATAGGTGCAAGCCACATGTATTCCTAAAACAGCTGTAGTTTTATTTGTGATGATCATAATGTTTCAGAAATGTGACTGTTCTGTCTTCTGATATATTTTGCGACCATCGAAGCCAATGCACTCTGCAGTATATCGCGAATTTGCAACCCCTTAAGCGCACAATGGTACACGCTCACTTCCACACACAGTACACGTTGCGCGTACGCGCATTTGTATTACATTTTGTTACAATCGTGCTACGCGCAAAATCGGATTGAATCAGGTAAAATAAATAGGAGCGGTTTTGGCCATAAACAAATTGATATGATGAGCCTTTTAATTTATCTCAAGCCTTGATGATTGCATCAAATATGGGTCATTCCACCGGGTTGGGAAGCAGTGCATGTGACATCCATATATTTGATTATATTATTAAAAGTATCAAGGCATTCTAAACAATTGCTCAACATAATATTTGTCTTAGGGTGTTTCATTTAAAAAAAAAAACATGTTTAGCGTCCCCGCCCGCTTCCTTTTTAGAGGCCGCCTCCTTTTTTTTTTTTTTTTTTTTTTTTTTTAAAGACAAAAATTGATAAATTGTATCGATCTCTGACGAAAGAAATCGTATTTTTAGACTTTTTTACCGTGTATAAAGCTGTGGCAATAGTCAATAAGCACGTGCGTCTGCACGAGAGTCTATCATACATTCACCCCGTGTGAAATATTAACTGGTTCTCTACGTCTCAGAACTCAGGACTAGCGTGTCGGGCGGCCATTTTGAAAAGAAAAAAAAAAAAAAAAAGGGCCTCCTCCTTCCTTTTTGTCAAAGAGGCAAGACACTAAACATGTTTTTTTTTTTATTTTGCCTTACTTGAGAAAGTTTGAAATCATTTGAAAGTACTTTGACAAAAATATGAGCAAAAATGTATTAATTCGGATTTAACATTGACACCGTGTAAATGTTACATCCAAATATTCTTTTTTTGGGCCATTTTTTACACATTTGTCAAATATTACCCAAACTGACATTGTATATGTACATGTACAACTGGACACCTCAGCACCAAGAAAAGATTTTGTTTTGGTATAGTCAGGGTTCAGATATAGCAGAAACAATACCTCAAGTGTGGATGTAACGGTGTAAAAATCACTCAATGGAAGTGTGACATTGGGTTTTACACCGTGTCAGTGTTACATCCACACATCCAAGCTATCATATCTGCTCCATTTGATACCTGACTACCGTAACAAAAGTTTTTCTTATTGTGTTGCATCTATAGTAAGAAGTACGCAAAGTGAATTTGGGTAATGTTTCGCAGAAATAAAAAAAAAAGGCACAAATGTCATATTTGGATGCAACACTGACACGGTGTCAATGTTACATCCAAAATGACCTTTTTTGCTCATTTTTTTGGCAAAATACATTGAAATGATTTCAAACTTTCTGCAGTAGTGAAACACCCAACAACAAATATTATGTAGAGGAACTGCTAGCAAGGCATTCATGCTTTTCTTAATATGATCATATGTCACATATTGTTCCTCAACCCAGTGGAAGAACCCATATAGCAATTGTAAGTACCTGTAAGTACCAGTAGGTACCGTAGTAAACGCATACTACAGTAGGAACCCGACATTCACAAGCGTTTTTGATGTACATTTTAATGTCTTATATTTATTTCACAATCTAGCGGATGTCCCCACACTGCAAGTCAACCACCTGCCATGGATCAAGGTCAGTGAGGAGAGTGAAGAAAACTTAATCTTTAAATCTAAAACCACCATTTTAAAACAGTGTGCAGGGCAATTACATTCTATATGGAAAATTGCATGCGAATTGATACGTGTACATGTTTAAAAGTGTACATGTACACGCATGTATGCATACATACATGAACTCGTAAGTTGTAAACAATGAAGTGATAACTATTGTCCATTAAAAGAAACTGTCAATTTTACAAACTATTTGTTTTTAAGTCGCTTTTCCACAGTACATGTGTAATTGTCTGAATGAAACTTTCCCAAATTAATTTTCTTGAATGTTAGTTTTCCTATAGCAATTGTTAGTACATGTATGTATGTTAGTACCGGTAGGTACCTTAGTAAACGCATACTACAGTAGGAACCCGACATTCACAAGCGTTTTTGATGTACATTTTAATGTCTCATGTGTATTTCAAAATATAGCGGATGTCCTTGGCTCCCCCCACTCACCAACACCCCACACTGCAAGTCAACCACCTGTCATGGATCAAGGTCAGTGAGGAGAGTGAAGAAAACTTAATCTTAAATCTAAAACCACCATTTTAGAAACAGTGTGCAGGGCAATTACATTATATATGGAAAATTGCATGCGAATTGATACGTGTATATGTTTAAACGTGTACATGTACACGCATGTATGCATACATACTCGTAAGTTGTAAACAATGATGTGACAACCATTGTCCATCAAAGAAAATGTTAATTTTCCAAACTACATGTATTTGTTATTAAGTCGCTTTTCCACAGTACATGTGTAAATGTCTGAATGAAACCTTCCCGAAGTAATTTTCTTGAATGTTAGTTTTCCACAGTAGGGCAATTCCATCGTGACTGACATAATAATTTGAATATCAAATCAGCTGTAATGTCTAAACTACAACCAACTGAGCCATGTTTGGCATAGGTGTGTCATTCCATATCAATGCAACACAATTTTAAACATGACCCTCACAGATTGAAACAATATTTGGTGTGACGATTGGTCTCTATGAGAATCTCCAAAACTATGTTTTTTTTGTGGTTTGGCTCGTTAGTTTTTGAGATACGAGTCAATGAACCTTTGACTAATTTAAATTAGCATGACCTCCGAACTTTAAACACATGTATCTGCTAAACTTAAGCACCTAAAAAGCCAAGTTGTACATCATATTATTAAAGCACTTTGCCTTTGAATGCCCTCCATTTCATAAAATAAAATCAAAATTGTAGCATGAAGCGCAGAGAAAATGCCTAACAAAATGATGTTTGACTTTGAATTACGAAAATAAATACGCTACTCCCGGGCTGCAGTGCTTACCTTCTTAAATCCTCTCATGATCATGAACTTGTCAACTTTGTTGCATGGTGAATGGAACACTGGAAAAAATAACAATAAACTATACTTATTTTTGTAGACAAACACATGGCATTTTGTACGTTTTAAAGCCATGTTAGAGACTGATAGTTAGACTGATAGGACATCCACTAGTATTGAGCAATCGTATTATTTTCTTCAAGAAAGAGGTTTTTTTTTTAGACCAAAACATATTTCACTATAAAAAATAAACAATTGTATCTTCCTTATGTTCAAGCTTCAAATGTGACCAGAAAAAGAAAGGAATACATCAATGGGTCGCAAAAAGAGACGGCACTGGTGGCAAAACATTTTCAGAAGTGGGTGGATGGCACTGCCACTGGTTTACCAAGCAAGTTTGTCCTTAGCTAATATACAGACACCTTTTTACATGTTCACATACTTTACACACCTTTGTACAAGTTTAATAGTATGAATTATAGGGAAACACCTGAGCTATGACTGTACAAACAGAACATAAGCCATTTTGTGGATACCGCCATATTTAAATTTGGGGGGCAATAACAATGAAAACGAGGTTGGTAATGTACGTACATCTAGCGCGCGTATACGTACGTACGTATGCACGCGCTGCCGATCTAGTCTTTGCGCCAAGAAACAAAACGAAAAGTACAGTATGCATGTTAGCCTATATAGGCCTATTACTAAGTATTACTAATTTAAATTTCCTACGGTGCTTCTTTTTCTCAGCACAGAAGCACCGTTTGATAGCTGCAAAAGATGGACTAGGCCTCTAGCAAAAAGAACAGTGCTAAGAAGATTAAAAATATCTTACTTAGGGCAGGGGGGCCTTTATAAACTTCAGTAACTCCCGCCGATATGCTCAGCTCATGTGGTCGTTATATTTCACAGTGACTCGCAAGCGCTAGCGGCAGGGTGACCGTAAAGTCAGAGACAAATTCTGCTAAATGCACATCACAAATCTGTCAGATTTATCAAAAATCTGCCAAATTCCCCAGACTTACTCAAAATACGCTATAAAAACTTAAAATCACGTGCAGAGTGGTACTCTCAAATTACATTATAAATAATCAACAGTCATTGAAGATGCGAAGAGGAAGAAAGCCTAAGAGATGGCGAGATGAAATCTCTGATTTCATAGGGAAGAAATGGAAACAACTGGCAAGGGACCGAAAAGCATGGAAAGTTAGTGGAGAGGCCTTCATCCAGCAGTGGATTGAATGATGATGATGATGAATCAACAGTCTTATAAAGATGTGAAATTACTGCGTACATTTCGGGCAAAACGCGGATCTGGCCACGACAAAGTCCGTTTCCCAATTAACCTCGGCACCTAAACCAGCCAACCTGTCACTTTATGCAAGATGTGTTTGAAAAAACTAGAGCTTTTTTAAACAAATGGTTTTTTTTTTCAATTTGTTTTTTTTTGTCAATTAACTCATTTTTGCAGAATTCTGCCAGAAATCTGCCAAAATAATCTATTCTGTCAAATTTTCTGTCAAACTCGTTTTTTTAACAAAAATGCTGTCAAAGTTAGCCGAAAATCGGCTAAAACGGTCACCATGGCTAGCGGCACGCGCTACTACCAAATTACAAACACGAGGCACACGCAACATTTAAAATTATTGTTAGTCTGGTCCTGCACTCCAATGCTGTCCTATGCTAGGTACCATGGGTACTTGACAACATTGCTTCTTAGAGTTGTCACCAGTCCATCCGTTATCGCTGTCTGGGCATACATTTCGCCAGAAGTTTGGGCGATTTCAGGAGACAAGTAAAAGTGGTCCCCCCCCCCCTTAAAAAAGCCAAATCCCTGGGTGCACAACTTCATTTCATTTCATTTCATAAAAGGTTTATTAAAAATTGTCATCACAGCAAAAAACTGAATTGCAACAATTATTACAATATTTTAAAAAACAAACATGAAGAGATAACATTCAATATATATTAAAAACATTTAAGAAAAGTAAAAGACTAAAATGCACCAAAGCGCAGACGAACCAGCGCAGTCTCGACACCCGCGCAAACTCACTGCACTCCATCCCGACCCAATCATCCCATGAATGGAATCAATTCCATGGACAATTAAGCCGGGACAGAGCACAGCAGTCCGCACAAGTGTCAAGATCACTTAATACACCGGAATAGTTAAAACTGATAAACTGCATCCCAAAGGAACACTTTTAAAATAAACTAGCCAAAACAACTTCAATCTGACGAGAGAGACACCACTTTAGTAAAAAATTTAGTCAAAAAGACGTCTCCCACGACCAACCAACACTGCCTCTATACCAGCACACTCTGAGAGTGAAAATAAAACCTACTATTGCACATTATTTGAAATGATATTGATACAGGTACATGTAATGTCGGACTGACGCGTTTTTGGTGTTCAGTAGTATCTATCTTCAGGCAAGACCGGATTGCGCATTGTCCCTGTTGAAGTATTGCAGTACCATTAGATCTGCCGCTTTTCGGTACGCGGGGTTTGGGTGGCGCGAGTATGATGTCGAGTTTAGGTCTCGTATGCCAGGGAGTAACAGAGCATGGGAGGCGATCGACGGGTAACTATGGCTGTTGTATGTCGTAGGGGGCGGTCAGCTCAAGTCCAATTTCACAGGGGGAGGAGCTAATAAGTCGGCATTTCAAGGCAACGGCCCAGTACCCAGTCGAAAAGCAACCCAAACTACTCAGGGGGCCACAGACCTGCAAAGCTGCTCGGGCACTGCTACGAATTCAATTATAAAGGGGTGTGCGTGCGAACAGCTTGTAAGTTCACGCACTGCTGCTCCATCTGTGGGGCGACCAGGCACGGGAGATTGTCGTGCTATTCCAACTCTCAAAAACAACCCAAAACTAGCAGTGGTAAGGGACCAGCCCAAACAACCCCAAAATCCGAGAACACACAGTAGCTTGCCACATCCTGCCGAGGTTACTAGGCGATTGCCAGGGGGTCACATAGGTTTGTGCAGTTTAGATTAAGTGCCTACTCCCATTAAAAAACACAATTTGATAACACTCCTTGAGTTATATCCGGACAGACAGACAGCGTAATTTCTAGCACGGGGTTTTACTGAGGGGTTCAAACTAGGTTACTATGGGCCTCGATTACCGGTCGAATTCCCCAATTTGCAATCAGAAACATCCAATCCTGTAACGGCCCAGCATAAAATAGACAAAGAGTTGGAGTTAGGTAGGATTGTAGGTCCGTTCAATAGTCGTCCCTTAGAACAATATTGAGGGTAAACCCCTTAGGTTTAGTGCCAAAGCATACGGCAGGGGAGTATCGTATGATCCACCACCTTTCTTATCCGGAGGGCTACTCAGTTAATGATTTTATCACCCCAGAAAACTGCATAGTACAGTACAGCAAATTCGATGACGCGGTGGAATTAGTTGCACAAATAGGGCAGGGCGCCTTACTAGCCAAGGCGGACATCAAATCAGCATTTGAGTTGTTACCGATTGCCCCTCAGGATTTCGAATTATTGGGGATGAAACTGGACGGTAAATATTATGTAGACAAATGTTTACCTATGGGTGCGCGGTGAACACCGGCTTTCTTTGAAAGGTTTTCAACCTTCATCGAATTTCTGGTTAGAAGAAATACCGGGTCAGATGGCATTATCCATTACATGGATGATTTTCTGTGTGTAGGCAAGGAGGGTAGTGACCCGCGGTCGTGTAGATTGCTCTTAGTTGAACTTTAGGCCAGCTGTGAGTTCTTCGGCATTCCCCTGGCACCGGAGAAATCCCAGGGCCCCGCCAAAAAGTTGACATATCTTGGGTTAGAAATTGACGTCACTTGCATGCAGGTTAGGGTGCCGCCGACAAAATTAGTCGATATTAACCGTAAAGTACGCAGGGCGCTTCGGTCGGCCACTTTGTCGGTCACCGAGGTGCAATCCCTGATAGGTTCCTTGAGTTTCTTATGTCGTGCAGTCAAACCGGGTAGGGCTTTTCTACGGCGGCTTATAGGCATGTTGAAAGAGCGAAAACGAACCAAACAGCAGGTACAGTTATCGTAGGGCGCCAAGGCGGAACTTGCGATGTGGCAACAATTTCTAGAATCCTTCAATGGGACGGGGATAATCAGGGCCCAGGGTTGGACGACAAATCAGGACATTAGGCTCTTTACTGATGCTAGCGGGGGGATAGGCTACGGAGGATACTTTCAGGGCAAATGGTTTAATGGTAGATGGCCAGCAATGATCTTAGAAGGTGACTACTCGATTGCATTGAAAGAAATGTTTCCTATAGTGGCCGCAGTAACAATTTGGGGTCTAGAGCTAGCGGGGAAACAAGTCGCATTTTTCACTGACAATATGTCTGTGAAGTACATAGTTAACAAGCAAACGTCGGCATGCCCCAAAATCATGTCGCTAGTGCGGCATTTTGTGTTGACTTGTCTTAAGTATGACATTTCCTTTAAGGCGGTGCATATCGGGACAAAACAGAACATCATTGCCGATTCATTATCTCGTTTGCAGTTACACAGGTTCAGACAAGCGGCACCGTTTGCAGACCAAAAGCCAGCAACTTTGCCAGCATTTCTATGGAGGATTTAGCTATTGAAACCCATAAGCTAATTTCCAGGTCATTAGCCCCTAGCACCATAGCATCTTACCAGCGAGTAATCGCCACTTTTCAGGAGTTTCGCATAAGTACGCGTTTGTGCCGGGCCTGGCCAGCCACGACACAGCAAGTTATCGCTTTTGTGGCAGCTCTGTCTCTAAAAGAACTAGCCCCATCCACACTTGCCCTGCACGTATCAGCTCTATCCCTAGTACACAAAAGTCATAATTGGGATGACCCCACTCACCACTTCCTGATAAAAAGAATGCTAGAGGGACACGAAAGACTCACGGGGGCACCGGACAATACGTCACCGTTTTCACGAACAGCCACATACTATATATATTCGGTTGATTTTGAAGTAAAGTGTTTTCGAGATAATCACAAAAGAAGTTTCTCATATTTTAAAACTGCAAGAAATACTACTTTGCAACAACTTTGTGCAGCAAGGAAACCATCACACGATTCTACGTGAGCTGAAGTTTTACATAAACCCGGTAATAAGACTTAATAAAGCAGTTAATTAGTTGAAATTAATTAGTAAAGATATGTGGCTCTTCGTGAAAACGCAAATTCACGTTTCCGACATATTGGCCCTTTCTGTTCAACGTGTATCTCCATAGGCGCGCGTGAGTACGCGCGCGCGCCTGAAAATGTAACAAAGATATGTGGTTCTTCGTGAAAACGCAAATCTCATTTGACCTACTTTTACGTATTTCCGTGCAATGGGTTTTGTACGCGTTCAAAGGGCCAAAATGTATGTGGCTCTTCGTGAAAACGCAAAATGCAGTTATCGAGATTTTTGCCCCTTGTAACATTAATGTAACTTAGAAATTAATGATGTTTTGCTTACTTAGAAACATGTCAAAATGGTTAAGTACATTGTTTTAATGCGAAATATTGAAAAAAATCAAAATCGAAAAAAATTGTAATTTTGGACATATGTGGCTCTTCGTGAAAACGGTGACGAATTATAGACGTCCTATCACTTGGGATATCGTAAGACAAATCGTGCCGACTTTGCCGGCAGCATGAACAACTGCATTTCGTCACCGTTTTCACGAAGAGCCACATATGTCGATTTTGAAGAAAAAGTGTTTTCGAGATAATCGCAAAAGAAGTTTCTCATATTTTAAAACTGCAAAAAATACCACTTTGCAACAACTTTGTGAAGCAAGGAAACCATCACACTATTCTGCGTGAGCTGAAGTTTTACATAAACCCAGTAATAAGACTTAATTCAGCAGTAAATAAGTGAAAATTAACTAGTAAAGATATGTGGCTCTTTGTGAAAACGCAAATTCAGGTTTCCGACATATTGGCCCTTTCTGTTCAACGTGTATTTCCATAGGCGC